GGGCCACAGGGCCACAGGGCCACATGGCCACATGGCCACAGGCCTACAGGCCTACAGGGCCACATGGCCACAGGCCTACAGGCATACAGGGCCACAGGGCCACAGGGCCACAGGGCCACATGGCCACAGGGCCACAGGGCCACAGGGCCACAGGGCCACAGGGCCACAGGGCCACAGGGCCTGCAGCTCGGCCCACGGCATGGCCGGGCTTGGCCTTCGGGTAGGGCTGCGGTGAAGGGTGGATTTCTGCAGGAAAGAGGGAGGGAGGGGGGCGTTGGCAGGGCGCTAGTGGGTGTGGCGCGTCGTGCGTGCGGTTCGCAACAGCGGCCTGCCTGGTGGGGCTGTGCCGGGCTGCGCGGCGGGCGGCGGGTGGCGGGGGTTTGTTCGCACTGTTGGGTAGCACGCGAATTGATTTCAAAGGGCCCGCCTCGCCTCGCATTCGAATGTATGCCAGCCATGCCAGCTGCGAGCTCCGGGCTGAGCCGAGCCGTCCGTGCCACTGCCACTCTTCGCCGAAGCGCGCCGAGGCCGAGGCCGCCTGATCGGGCACGTCCCGACCGGGGAAACGGGGAAACGCACCGCTGCGGCGGCCGAGGGGGCCGAGGCCGGTGCTGTTGGGGCGCAGGGCCTCGCGGAGCCCGCAGCTCTCTGAACGCTGCCTCTCTCGCACCCACAGAGCGGCTCCGCCGGGGTGCGAGAGAGACGGAGCAAAAGTCCCGGACAGCCTCGGCTCGGCCCGGCCCGGCCTCAGCCCGGGGTCACTGGTTTTCACAGTGCCGTGCCGGCCGGGCCTCTCGATACCTCCATAAGAGCGGCAAAGTTGCCAGCCGAGAATGCGGGCCACGCGCTGGAGCCACGCCGGCCGCTCCCAGCGCTCTAAACTCGCCCGGCCGCGCGTCTGCAAAGTTTTTGAGCACCCCGTGTATAACCTTTTGTGGCGAGCTGGTGTTATTGTCTGGCGGGATGTCAGCGAGCCGCGCGGAGCCGGACCTTGGCCCGGCCACCAGCAGACACCGGCAGGCCCGGCGGCCACCACAACGGCGTGGGGTGTGGCGGGGCGGGGCGTGGCGTGGCGGGGCGTGGCGGGGTGGGGCGGGCGTGGCGGGGTGGGGCGTGGCGGGGCGGGGCGGGGCGTGGCGGGGCGTGGCAGGGTGGCCCGCGGGGACAAAAGGCGTGCGCAACTAGCCGCGTTGCTGCGTTGTTTCGTCCAGAAGGCCGCGTCCCGTCCTGCGCGCGCTGCACAGCCACGACCAGGGCGCCAGCAGACTGATTTCGAGAGTCGTTTTATCATCGCTCTATCTCTCTCGCACCAACACGGGGCGTCCAATAGTCTGCAGAAAGCACGAGGACTGTCTCTAGACGGCCGCAGAGGTTCGTGTGATGTGGTGTGACGGCAGCTTTGGCTGAATTATGCCAGGGGGTGGAAACGGGGCTGATTTGGCGGGCCTTGGCTGCGGCGATGCGTGCACGGCCGTTTTTGCCGTTTTCACCTCTTTACCGCGTTAGTTGGTAAACCACTTTCCAGCTGAAGTAGTCGTCTTAACGACAAAACCTCAACGCGTACTTAAAGAGTAAGGTTGAAGGATCAGCAAATAAGCTCCTTGGGCCGAATTGATACTTACAAAATGAGATATTCACATTTTTGTAACTTGTTTACATTTTTTTCGGCGTTTTCAGGCCAGAATCGCCGCGCCCGAACGCGGATGAGCCATTTAAAACAAGTTACAAACATGTCCATGACTCGTCCTGTGGGTTTCAAATCTTCAAAACGGGCTTATTTTCTCGAAGAGACAACATTACTCTAGAAGTACACGTGCAGGATTTGTGCATAAGATGTCTACTTTAGCTAGAAAGTGGGTTTCTAGGAACCACAAAAAAACAACAAACAACGGCCGTGCACGCATCGCCGCAGCCATGGCCCGCCAAATCAGCGCCGTTTCCACCCCCTGATTATGCCTTATCTCTCTTATCGGACGTGTGGAAAAAATTAAGATAGGCTGACATTTAATCTCCCCACTCTCGTTCACACCATCACCACCAGCGGCCTGGTTATTTTCCAAACAGTGCTTTTTTCGTCCCTCTCTCGCTCTGTCCCACCTTTCCGGAGGGGTGCGAGAGAGACAGAGCGACTTCAGGACGCCGCGGCGCACTGTGGGCCAGGCCAGAGGACCCGTGGGCAGGGGCGCCGGAAGTGGGGTGCAGGGTGGGCAGGCTGCCCCCCCTGGAATTTGGCAGGGGGGGCATCGCCCCCCCTGGACTTTGGTGGGAAGCTGCGAAAATCGAGCCAGGCGGGCGGGCACCGGTCGCGCAAAGTATCTCCACAGTGAGCGGCGAGACGCGGCGCGGCGGCCTCTTCCCCCTCCCCCTTGAATTGAATAATTTATATTAGTATTAGGGTCAGTTGGAGCAATTATAGGACACGGGGTAAAAATGGGACAGCATATTCCAAGGGGTACCCGACTCAAGATAATCATTGCGCGTCTAGTTGGTAACCAGTGAAATAATCAACATCATCCAATGAAATGACAATCATCAGGGGGTGGAAACGGCGCTGATTTGGCGGGCCATGGCTGCGGCGATGCGTGCACGGCCGTTGTTTGTTGTTTTTTTGTGGTTCCTAGAAACCCACTTTCTAGCTAAAGTAGACATCTTATGCACAAATCCTGCACGTGTACTTCTAGAGTAATGTTGTCTCTTCGAGAAAATAAGCCCGTTTTGAAGATTTGAAACCCACAGGACGAGTCATGGACATGTTTGTAACTTGTTTTAAATGGCTCATCCGCGTTCGGGCGCGGCGATTCTGGCCTGAAAACGCCGAAAAAAATGTAAACAAGTTACAAAAATGTGAATATCTCATTTTGTAAGTATCAATTCGGCCCAAGGAGCTTATTTGCTGATCCTTCAACCTTACTCTTTAAGTACGCGTTGAGGTTTTGTCGTTAAGACGACTACTTCAGCTGGAAAGTGGTTTACCAACTAACGCGGTAAAGAGGTGAAAACGGCAAAAACGGCCGTGCACGCATCGCCGCAGCCAAGGCCCGCCAAATCAGCCCCGTTTCCACCCCCTGCAATCATACTTGCGGGGATTCAATCACTTTTGACAATTTTTGCGAGACCACTGCTCCCAAACTATCAGCGATCAAAGCCTTCCCGAGGCGGGGCATGAAAGAGTAGGGTCTTTAGGATAGTAAGGCGTCGAGGGAGGCCTTTGACCGCAACTAAATTGGATGCAGTGACCGCTCAAAGTCAGCAAAAACGATGATTTTTTGAAATTCTTTCACTTTTTGACCATTTTTGCGAGACCACTGTTCCTAAACTATCAGCGGTCAAAGCCTTCCCGAGGCGGGGCCTGAAAGAGTAGGGTCTTAAGAATAATAAGGCGTCGAGGGAGGCCTTTGACCGCAACTAAATTGGATGCAGTGACCGTTCAAAGTCAGCAAAAACGGTGATTTTCTGAAATTCATTCACTTTTTGACCATTTTTGCGAGACCACTGCTCCCAAACTATCAGCGGTCAAAGCCTTCCCGAGGCGGGGCATGAAAGAGTAGGGTCTTTAGAATAGTAAGGCGTCGAGGGAGGCCTTTGACCGCAACTAAATTGGATGCAGTGACCGCTCAAAGTCAGCAAAAACGATGATTTTCTGAAATTCATTCACTTTTTGACCATTTTTGCGAGACCACTGCTCCTAAACTATCAGCGGTCAAAGCCTTCCCGAGGCGGTGCATGAAAGAGTAGGGTCTTTTTAAGCACCTTTTTTGGTGGGGGAGGGGGGTAATTAAGAACGTAGGATTTAAAATTGTTTGCCCCCCCTGAGGAAATACACTTCCGGCGCCCCTGCCCGTGGGGGCGGCCAACCCTCAAGAACCGTTTTGAGCTCCAGAGTCGCTAAATGGGACACGAACCGAACATGTGACCCCCCCAATGAACTCCTTGTTCAGAGAGCAATCCATTGGTGGGGTCACACGCTCGGTTCGAGCCCTGTTTAGCGACTCTGGAGCTCAAAACGCGTCTGGAGTTTTGGCCGCCTCCACCGATCTTCTGGCCCACTGTGCGGCGTGAAGCCACCTCGCCGGCAGACAGGCGTACGCGAGGGCCGTGCGGGCGTAGGGGTGGCACTGCTCGAAGGAGAGCAGTGTCAACAGGCGCGAAGGCCGAAAGGTTGGGCAAACACGGTCGCCTCGCCACGCCACGCCGCCCCCGCAGCCCCCGCAGCCCACGCACCAGCCAGCGAGAGACAGGTAGAGCGGCCGGGCCCGGATTTGTCGGGACACTCCACGCAAACATGGCAATATTGGTGCAGCCCAGCTGAGCGCGTCGCAACGCGTTGTTCCAAAGCGGGGCTAAGTGGGACCTGTCAAAGGCTCCGTGGCGGCGTCGCCCTGGCAGTGCTGGCAGTGCGGGCACGCCCGGCCACTCCATGGCAACGGCGTCGCGCCGCTGATTAAACGGACGCGAGTGTTTCTGGGAATGACGGCGCGATCAATTACCAAGAGCGAGGGAGACAGAGACGGCGGCCCTCTAATGCCGCGAGCGCCGCGAGTATCGAGATAATTTGTCATATCGGAGCCGTTTCGAGTGCCGGCCCGCCACGGTTCGAGGACTCGCTCTGACGAGCGCTGACGTCACGGCGGGACAGTTGGCGGAGACAGCTCGGCCGGCTGGCGTCCCTGAGGAAGACGGGGACATCGCCGGGACTCGCGACTTCGTGGGATAATTGTCAAATTTGCCCTTTTTTGTGTGTGCATGTTTTGGAAATCAGTGATTTTGAATTGATTTTGAATTGGTTGGCATAAGTCCCCCTCCCCCCCACACAAACGCAAACACCCACCCACACCTACTCTCTCTCTCTCTCTTCTCTTCTCTCTCTCTCTCTCTCTCTCTCTCTCTCTCTCTCTCTCTCACACACACACACACACGTGGGCGCGATGCAGTGTTTGTCTCGATAAGCGAAGAGGCAGGATAAGGATGAAACCGGTCCCCACTCTCGGCGTGGCGGCGCGTGGCGAGGCCGTGCGGTCGGCGCGGCTGCACCGGTGTGTCTGCCAGAGTCCCCAGTGGTCCTCAGTGGCTCCCCAAGGCCTGGCGTGCGTGTGTCGCAGTGTGTCGGACACTCCCAGTGCAGCAGCAGTCTGCGGCCGCCAAGCAGAGGCTGGACTCCCGGACCGCGCGAAGCAACGCGAAGCCCTGCCGGACAGCAGGTCGAGATTCAAAGCCAACGAGCTCGGGAAATAACCGGTGGCCGCCATGTCCGTGATTTACCGGCGATCCATGGCTTATCTCGACAAGTTCGTGCCGCCAAAATACGCGCCGCTGTGGAACCACCCGGCAGGTAGGACTCTACCGCCCACGCATGCCGATCGGAGCGACCAGCCGTGGCAACACGTTTGGAGCAGTTTGGAACGCTTGCAAACTTAGTGGAGGATAGACTGCCGATCGTGGCTCTGCTCTAGCGCCGCTCTAGCGCGCCACCCTGTTCTGTTTTTGGCGGACGTTACTTGAATCCCATCCCAAAACGCCATCCTTGTTCGGCCTCTGTGCAAGCGGTACAGTGGGCCGGAGCACCGCACGAGGTGGGTCAAAGTCCCGGACGGATTTCGAGCTCCAGAGTCACTAAAAGGGACTCGAACCGAACGCGTGACCCCACCAATGGATTGCTGTCCGAACGAGGAATCCATTGGTGGGGTCACTCGGTTCGGTTCGAGTCCTGTGTAGCGACTATGGAGCTCAAAACGCGTCTAGAGTTTTGGCCGCGCCGGTCTTCTGGCGCGGTGCAGCTCGGTGGTGCTTCCCCGCTCCGCCGCGCTCCGCCGCGCTCCGCCGCACCGCGCTGGCGTCGTCGTAGCTCCGCGGGGGGCGAGGCTGCGCCAGGCTCCGCGAGGCGCGTCGCGCGGCTTTGGGAACAAGTTTTGGCGCCGAGCAAGGTTGCGGCCGGGCGCCTCGCGCCTCGCGCCCCGCTGTCGCGCGGATTCAGACTCGTGCGAGGATCAACATTCGTGATAAACAGCATCTGTTTGTTTCGCAGCCCGGCCCACCTCGCGCTATTCGCCCCACACGCTCATTCAAATAGCGCACCTGTCGGATTGTAATTAAGCTCCATTCACAAATTACGGCATCGTCGTCCCGGCATTGCGTGTGTGGCATTGATGGGGCATTCATCCCATTTCATACCAGGGCAGCGTGCACAGGAAATAAACAAAAATGTCTCATGAACGACGGTTTAATGTTTTTATATGAACGAACGAGCAAATGGATGAATGGATGAATGAATGAATGAATGAATGAATGAATGAGTGAGTGAGTGAATGAGTGAATGAGTGAATGAGTGAATGAATGAATGAATGAATGAATGAATGAATGAATGAATGAATGAATGAATGAATGAATGAATGAATGAATGAATGAATGAATGAATGAATGAATGAATGAATGAATGAATAATTGAATGATTGAATGAACTAATACGAATACTTTCCTTGTTGCAGGACCGAAAACGATCTTTTTCTGGTCGCCGTGGTTCAAGTGGGTGAGCCTTCAGAGCCTCCTCTGCTTCGAGTCCTAACGCCAGGGCACCGTCTGACGTTCCTTTACCTTTCAGGGGCTGGTGGTCGCTGGACTGAGCGACTTGAAGCGGCCTGTGGAGTCGGTGTCGCTGCCGCAGTCGCTGGCCCTGTCGGTGACGGGCCTCATCTGGTCGCGTTACTGCCTGGTCATCACCCCCATCAACTACAACCTGTGCGCCGTCAACGTGTTCGTCGCCATGGTCGGCACGTACCAGGTGCAGCGGGCAGCCAGGTGAGTCCCACTCCCTGGCCCAACAGAGATTACTGAATTCAAGGACCGCATTTAAGGTATTTTCTTCCTTGCGTTGTTTTAAACAGATACCAACTGGCGCTCCGAGACTCGGAGCAAGCCGCTGAGATGTGAAGCCATTTCATTTTCTCTTGGATAATGGTGTGGCTGACCCTAGCACCTCTCAACAGTACAAATGCTTTAGGAACTTTGCATGCCCCCAACAGCTGTGATATGTTTAGTTAGGTAAAATAAATACCTTCATTGTGGTAAATCTGTCATCTTCATCGTTCCTTTCCCCATCCGGCCCACATGCTACTCCTTGCCCGGAGAGCCAGAATACGACAGATTTGCGGTGAGTTCAAATTTGGCGCGGAGAGGAACAGGCTGAGAACTGCTGAGACATACCCACCCGCAGTGGCAGCATCATATAGCCACCCGAAGGATTAATTAAATTTAGTATTGAATTCCCGCATGCTCAGCGCATATTCATTTATGAAAGTATAAATACCCCAAGTCACATACGTCATCTTCATTAAAGTGTTCCTTTGTAAAAAGTTCGTTGCGGTGCTCTGTTAGGGTTGGTATCTTGGACCTTTCCCCAGCCTTGTGAGGTTACGTTCGAGGCGTGGCGTAGCTGGATCAGCTGTTTACCCCAACCCTTTCCGAAATTGTCGAATCGAAAAAGGTCCTGCAGGAGTCCCAAAAATGTCTGTCATTTATCGGGGAGTCGTTTCCGCGGTGGACAAAGTTGTCCCAGCCAAGCTCCAGCCGCTGTGGTCTCATCCTGCAGGTAATTAGTTTCAAACTTGTTCGGTTTTCATCGAATATTAATATGACCCTTTGTCCTACGAGAGTATTTCAAGGTTAGAGCAATTTGTAAAACCTAAAAAATGGTAACAAACGATGAAATTTTGATTCCTTGTTTGTCTCCGAAAACCTACGAATGCTCACAATTTTTTTGTTTGCTGTCAGGACCTAAAACTATCTTCTTCTGGGCACCAGCATTCAAATGGGTAAATATCACTGATGCTGACTCTTGTTTTGTTTTAGTAGCAGACTTTTGCCATTTACCATTTACATTTACATGCAACAATGGTTGTATATTTGCTGCAGGGCTTGGTGATAGCTGGAATAGGTGACCTCTCAAGACCTGCCGACAAGATTAGCTTGCCTCAGACTTGTGCTCTCAGCGCCACCGGTCTTGTATGGGCACGCTACTCTCTCGTCATTATTCCCAAGAACTGGAGCTTATTCAGTGTAAACGTGTTTGTGGCCATCACGGGACTGTATCAGTTGTCAAGAGCTGTCAGGTAATATTATCAATCCAATGTAAGTGCTGACCAAACATCATCAACTGATGCAAGTATTTTAATCCTACCCTTTCATGTTTTAGGTACCAACAAAGTCTGAAAGCTGAAGAAGCCGTCAAAGCCTAATTTTCTCTCTCCATTCCGACTAACTAATTAATATGTTTTACTGTCACAGTGTACACTAAGGCTCAGCAGGTAATTTTTAATTTCTGAGTTTTATTTATTTTTAAATATTTATTTTTGTTTGTCTTTGTCATTTCTTTTCGCTCTCAATAGTTGTGGTTTAAATCAGTGCTGGACACTGCATCAAACCCAGTGAGTTCAAAAATGTCCCTATAAGATAAATACATTTTTGAATGTAATACTATTGTGTTCAAGTTCAAGATGGTTTATAGTGTCAATCTTTCTGTTTTGTATTGTTATTAATTCTATTTAAATTGTACAACTTATATCTGTGATGAGTGGCATCTTGTTAAGTATAGAGAATGAAGGAAAAAAAAACAACAGTGTTCATTGTTCAATATTTACTAATGTGGAGAAGACGAAATAACGTTTTGTCTGTCACATTTTGAGTCAAAGAAGTTACTCGTGAGACTTTCATACTGTACTGAAGATCTTCCATCAGCCTAGTCTTTTTCATTGAATATGATTACTGGTACAAATGATACAGACATTGTAGCATTCAGCTGAATTTCTTGATCTGTGTCACCCCTTTTTATCTGATAAATTAATGACTTAGTAGTTTTATCCAACAGGTCGAGGAAAATCTAACAATTTGTGTTTCTTTAGGCATGTAGTGGTGGCTTGCCACAGTATTCATTACTTGTCACGCAGCTGAGTACAAGGACCTCAAATGTTCGTTGATGCTGTTTAATAAATGTTATAAAATAGTGGGTTATCTGCATTTCTCTTTTATGCATGACCAAGACCAAAGTTGGTGACTGAATTTGGGGCTACCATTAATGACAACAATACAATCAATAGGCATATGTTCTTTATTGATTTCCATATATGACTGTCTAATACACATTCTCTGCTTTCCAACGTATTTATTGTATAGGCCTAAGTGGGTATTCTGCTAAACTATGCAAAACATGAGAGGCTTCAATTACCGACCAAGAAGAACCACCGTAATGTATATCCTCTGAAACTTTTAAGTTAATCCTAACATATTAACATAATTCAACAAAATACTCCATGATCACCACTTTCATTCATTTCACAGCACATCACATCAGTGTGCCTGTAGATTTGCATATTTAACAGGATAAATAATATACATTTATAAACATAACAGACTTGAAACCATTGACTCTCAAACACTACATCTTTTCACATTATGTACAAACAAAAAAATAATGTTGAAGCTAAAAATATTATTGTTTTAAAAATATAGCATAAGTAATGCTTAAGTCAACAAAATCAAGTACAAAATTAAAATAACGTAATGCTGAAATAAAACCTCAGGTAGGCTGATAAGTAACTCCTTAACCATAGTGCATATTTCAAACCTACAAAGAAAACTGATTTCTGCAGATTACAGAAGAATAAGATGAAGACTTTTAAAAGCCTTTTTCAAATGCATTCCCAACAAGATAAAAGTATGAGAAAAGAAATTCGTAGTTACATAAAAATGTAAGTACAAGACCCAACAAACAAACAATCTGAAAACATTGCAGACATCAGCACGCACTAACTTGACATAATTGCAAACAGCAAATCTGCACAGAGACCTTTTCTCCATAAAATACAAGGCAGATAGCAAGTGATAACCATATCTAAGGGGAAAAAAATCAAAGAGGATTTGTAGATTGACTTGATCACAACTTTACTTCCTTATTGCTAACTCCCAACTAACGCTCTTCAAAGTGGAATTTTACAGGTGATATACACAAACACTTTTAAGCTTGGCTTAACTAGCCAAGGATAAAGATTTCTAAGAAAATTTACTTCGCTTGGCAATGCAGAGGGAATTAGACAATAATGTATGATACACAAATAGCACATGCACAGAGGCATTGGGCCTTTGGAATGTATCTCACCACTTAAAAACGATACCTTTACAAATAAATAATAAGACATTTTTTTAGGTCAAATAAACACATGCCTCTGATAAGGCTGTCCTGTTCTTCAAAAAGCTATACAAATATAAGATGACACCTTGAAAAATATTGCACTTGGTAAGCCAATTTATAATCTTTCTTAACTTTAGGTCGTTCCACAGTAAGATATTCCTTCACAGGAAACAGGTATACAATAGACAATGAACATTATGGAACCCTAAGGTGGGAAAAATTGGAAAGACAACAATTTGCAAAGTTTTGTGAATATCTGATAAAGCTACTAATAGATGAAATCAAATTGACGAGTATGTTATGATATGGGAGGATGTGGATACCCATTCAAAATGCACCGGCAAATGCAAACTATTGACTCAGTTTGGTATGCTTTTTAAAGACCACAGCAAGCAAGAAAAATATTTGCTTTAATCACATTGAAGCACATGATTACAGCATGTATGCAAATACTACAAGCTTGAATCAGTGCTTGTCTACATTGTAACTACAGGCCAGCTATTACATGTTATTTATACTATAGTCCTTTAAAGATCAACACTCTTTGATAATTTGTTAAACGTTCAGTCATATAGAAGATATATCTTATGCACAGTTGATCATAGAGAGAAAAGGCAAAAGGATAGCAGATACATAGAGGTAGAACCTTTTTTTTTTTCAAACTTTATGTTTTTATTGTAGCTTTTCTTGTAACTTTTCCAGTCAAGAGGGATAAACTCAAAAGCCAGCCAAACGCACAAGAATAAAACTCAAAAGGAATCAAATGGAACAATTATTGAAAGCTCTTAAAAATATAACTACCTGACAAATCTTTGGGTGAGGTGTTTCTTCACACTACTATACATACCTAATTTATTTCTCAACTCAGTGTCAATACTAACTGACAGGTAGCACAAAATTCTTATTCAGAATGTGAGTGATTTCTATCTTATGCTAAAGCAAATCTTTTGCTGGGAAAGAAATACTGACATTGCAGATCCAGAGAATGGAGCAGCAATACTGGTTTGGACAAAGTGCTTGGATTAAGCAGTCGTTTCAGTCAGAACTTAAGAACTTTTAGATTACTATCCACTGCATTCTTATCCATGAAGAAATGCATGTCCACCCCAACACCAGATAAAATGAATAATAAAATAACTGCGCCAAAAACAGGGGAAAAAATCCCCTCACAACAAGAAAAGTGACAACACAGTTCAACACTGCACTGGAAATTGTAGTATTGGCTGATTGATTCAGGAATCCTCTGTTCAGTTAGTAGGAGTACATACAATACACATAATTGCTGCAAGGCTCACAATAAACTCACAGCAAACGATACAATAAACTTGAGATATTTTGACAACACTTAAAAGAAGGTAGACAATACAACCAACTGTTGTAGAATAACAGACTACTTCAGATCTGTTTCATCATCCAACATATCTTCAATCTGGTTTTCCCAGTTACTGGAATGTGTGTTTTGACTGTCATTGTCTGCGACTACTTCATAATCCTGCAGTTCTGCTTCCAATTCCTTCTCCCAATCTTCTTCTGGAGTAGCGACGATCATTAAGGAAAGGGAAAATTCAAAACATAAATTAAAAAATAAGGTAGATAATAAAAATATCTTGTAGAAAGATTGCTTGGCAACTGATGCATTAATGCTATAGGGTGATTGTGTTGCATCAAATTGCATGCAAGACAGACACAAAATATTTCAAAAGAAAGGCACTACTGGCTACAGACAAACAAACACAATAAATTAAATAAATTAATGGGATTGGGGGTCTTGCAAAGAACTCAAATTTGCTTAGCACTATCTGCTTGTATGCCCAATATGTAATGTAAATGTAGTTGAGTTTGGCAGAGGTCGAAGAGTTAAAATAATTTTAAAGACATGCAGACAGGAAGAAACATCAACTTCCATTCAAAATGACCAAGTAAGGTAATACCTTAGAAATGTATCACTGTTGTGTGTGACAACACCCTTGGTCTCGTAATTACAATAACATATAAGACTATACACACACTAAAAAACAAATTCAAAAAGATCTAGTGTGTATTGTATTGTCACTCTTAGCACATCTTATAAAGGCAGGGAAGCATTCAAGTTCCATACAAAAGATCTTTGATCATGGAAATGAATCAAAGCTCATTATTATGATTTCAATTTAGTCTTCACAATCCTCATGCCCTCTTCACCACATCTTGTATAAGAACATATGAGGACATCAAAAACGAAAATTACAAATACTACTTAGAGCCAAAAGGATCCAGTCTCCACTTTTATTGTGATATTTTCTTCTTATGACCCACATTATCCCAATTTTCAGTAAAATTCAATGTTCCTTTGTCCGTTACAACATTTTCAAAATGTGAATAAACTTGGCGTTACTTCTCACAGTGCAGCCAGAAAAGTTTGCCCTTTCAATACAAGCAAATAGGACTTATGACAATAACTTCAGCCAGCACTGTCTGAAACAAAAGCAAGATTGTTCCTTGCCCAGTATGCATGACATTTGATCAATCCCCTTTCTTTGATTTCAAATATTTGAAAACAGCAAATTAAAGCACATGCAATGAATAAAACAATAGTTGCATACAGTTACTGTTCTTTCACTAAGCTTTGCTAGCATCAACTTGACCAACTTATCTCAAACCACACATGCATGAATTATGAAAAATGAAATTTTTTGAAAGCTTTTTCACACACTGGAGTATTAAAGACATGCTTGAAAGCAAGCGAAACCAAAAAAATAAGTGAAAAGGACGGTAATGAAAAGAGAACAGAAAGAAAAGATACATGAACATAAATAATCATAACAAGGGCCTAAAAATTAATAAAAAATTTAAATTAATGAGGGAAAACTTGGGGGCGGCAGTGGGAGAGGTTTGGGGAAGGTTGAGAGGGGTTGGAAACTCATGATCTTAGCGCCACTCATCTCATCTTCTTCTAGGCTGTGGAAGAAAGAAACAGAAAGAAGATCTTTCAGTGAGTGAAATGTAAGTTATGATAAATTTCAAGTGCAAAAGATTCCCAGAAAGGACAGTTTTCAGGCCTTTCAGAGGACTCTAGCAACATTTTTAGCAAAACAGATGTATCTTTGGCACTTGAATTAATAAAAACCATTTTTAGTTTGATTATGATTCTTTCAAATCTACATGTTCATGTCTGTGATAAGGTGCCACAGATTGACCACAAACTGGCCCCATGGAAAGACTTTCCACGTATTCATTATGTAAGTTCAGCACAAACAAAAGAATTTAAAAAAAAAAAAAGGATTTGCAAAGGCTTTTTCTTTGTAGACATGGTCAAAAAAAAAGTTAAGAAAAAATAAATTGGCATGTAACTTAAACTTTTTGGTAATCTCATAATCTAAGGCACCTTTCAATATCAATATGTGGAAAAAAAAAGGTACTAATTAAAGCATGCTTAAAGACGAGCAATTTAGACCTACTCTATAGGTATCCACAAAGGCCATTGCTCAAATGTTTTTTGTAATGGTGTTAAGACAAATTGACGCTCCTATTCGAGCTAGTTCAGGACAGTAAGTTGTATGCAACATTCAAGATGCAGTGGAAGCAAAGCAGGCAGGGAACAAAGCTGATAGAATGAAGTCTCCTATAAGTTTGTATGCTTCGGGGAGACTCCACAAAACTTATGACTTACCTTTATGCACAGGTTCTAAGCCGAGTATACGCATGCCTTCTCGTACTTCCTCTAAGTCTTGAGAGCTTGCTACAAAAGTGTCTGACACAAACTCATGTGTGGGACTCTCAGCATTGGTAGAAGACTCGGGCATGTAGCATAAGGGATCCTCCACATGTACAGGTGGTGCAGCTACTCCAACAAGCATGAGCATTCAAATGAAACAAACAAGACACAAAACTATAAATAAAATCAATACATTCCACTAAAAATACAACAATAATAAAAATAAAAATAATAGAAAAGCAAACTACTTAATTACAATGTATCATGTAGCATTAAGTACTCAAAAGTATGTAAGATTCTGAGATGTTTGATGGAAAACACATTTAAATTGGATAATCTAAATCCAAAGAGGCTTCTAGAACAGTGGGTGAAGAAATTACAGGAAGCACTCTACAGGTGTAGTATGTAAGATATCATATTGTCATGAGCCCAAGCAAACTCAATATTACGTATTCTCTAAACCTTCTAAAAGCGTAGCTTGATTTACATTTAGACAGGCTGGATTTTGTGCACTGTTACTGTTATTTTTCAACACAACTAATACTATATGCATTCTAGTAGGAAATTTTGAAGGCTCAACTATATTGATAAAACCATTTAGCTCTCAAGGGAACAAACCTGCAGGCTCAGCATCTGTGCTGCTGGTGCGAGAAGCTGAGGCACCCCCTTCTTTGGCCATGGACGACAGTTCATTTGCTTGGCAGATGAGGCTAACTCGGTAGAAGTAATTACGCCAGAAGTTTTCTTCATTGATCCTGCACAGATGACAAGCAGAATGTACCGTCAAAATTTGGAATAAAAACACTGCAGTAGGTGACAATGTAGGTTTCAGAATTACTTACACTTTGGGGACCAGTTCAAACCTCATTTTCTCAAGGTTTGGATCTTCTGCTAAAATAGCTTGGGCAACTGGGTACGTCACTTCGTAGTCAAAGTTAAACTCCACGCCCGCGGGTGGACTGCGCACGAAATTCCGTCGATCCTGGGGCACAAAAACGACGAAACAAGTCAGGATAAGGCTTGTAAAATTAAGCAGACGGTTGACAAGAAAAGGGCAGGGCACTACCGTGGACAGCGACAGGCACTCCTCCTTTAGAGACTCCTCGTTGGGGCAGCCGACCCATGGCGGCACGGCCGCCTCGGAGCCTTTGCTGTTCTTGTCCTTGATGAAAGCCTCCTGCTCCTTGTTGAAGTCGCCCAGCAGGTTCTGCAACAACACAAGGTCCGTTTTAACGACGTCAACCATTTAGGCAGTCACTCGCTCTCCAGGGGGAGCCTGGCGGGCCTGGCGTAGCTCCTAGCTCGGCGAGTAAAGGAGGGAGCCAGATAGAGAGAGAGAGAGAGAGAAGAGAGAGAGAGAGAGAGACAGAGAGAGAGAGAGAGAGAGAGAAAGAGGAACTCGGCAACGGCAAGGAAATATGAAACCCCTGGGCTACGAGCGAGAGGGGAGGGAGGGAGGGCAGATCCATGTACCACAGAGAGTAGCACTGGAAGAAGCAGCAGTTTACACAGACACCTGCCTCTGTGTGTGTGTGTGTTTGTACGCGGGTATGTGCACTGCATTTGTCCATGCATGTGCGTGTGTGCATGTGCGCGTGTGCGGGTGTGGTGTGGGGCACTCACGCCTGGTCGTAACGCACAGACGAGCAGCAATTTCCCACACGACAGGAAGATGCACCGACAGTCTCCAAGACATAAAGACCCCGCGCAGTAACGGGACAGCAATTACTTCGCTTATGCAGCGCGCATGCAGCAATGCGCGACAATGGTGTCTGGAGGGTGGAAGGTTTCCCCGACCAGGGTGTGATTCGAGGCGACCACTTTGTCAGATAATCATGTAGGAAGTGTCAGGTTGTGATGTCAAGTGTCAGAGGTGTCGGATAAGAGGGTTCCGAGCATATCAGGTCAGTGTGCAACACGAGGGTGTCAGATTTGTCAGATGAGGGCGTCAGGTTGGCGAGGGAGTCGCTCTGCCCGGACCGACCGGCCGGCCAGTACTTGTCCTTGGCAGTGTTCCCATGCCGGGAGTCCGGGAGGGGAGGGGGCTTTGCGCCGCTTTGCGCCGCTTTGCGCCGCTTTGCGCCGCTTTGCGCCGCTTTGCGCTGCTTCGCTTTGCGCCGCTTTGCGCCGCTTTGCGCTGCTTTGCGCGCTTTGCGCCGCTTTGCGCGCTTTCGCTGCTTTGCGCCGCTTTGCGCCGCTTTGCGCCGCTTTGCGCCGCTTTGCGCCGCTTTGCGCCGCTTTGCGCTGCTTTGCGCCGCTTTGCGCTCGGTACCGTTGGCGGCGCCACGGTGCCACGCCAACGCCGCCGCGACCCCTTTGCCGCCGCGTTGCCGCTTCCGTGCACTTCCGCGCAGAAGCCGGCGGATCTGCCTGGCTGCCTGGCTGCCTGCCTGCCTGCCTGGCTGGCCTGCCTGGGGCGAGTTCTCGCTTTCACACTTGACATCGGAAATTTGGCTCTCCCACGCGTTCGGCATTCGGCGTGCCGTAAGAGAAAGGCTAAATCCACCACACGCGCACGCGCGTTGTTTGGGACGCGGTTGGGCGCAAACGACGTGCGCCATCTTTCATGACGTAAACAGACTGATCCCGAGACACGTTCACGTCGCTCTGTCTCTCTCGCACTCATAGGGCGTCCAGAATAGGTGCCAGAGGGACAGAGCGTCGAAAACGACTCTCGGAATCAGTCTGCAGACCCAGACAGTGGGGCGGCCCTGAGCCGCGCGGCCAAGGGGCGGAAATTAGGGGCAGCTCATCTGAAAGCCATGACCGGGCAACTTAGACTGCGGCAGCACGCACTGCATGTGGAAGGGCGGAGGAGTGGATATGAGGGGGAATGGAGGAGTGGGAGTGGAGTAGTGGAGGGGTGGAGGAGTCGAAGGATGATAAGAAAGGAAGAGTGCAGGAGTGGAGGAGTGGATGGGTGAACTGGTGGAAGGATGAACTGGAGGTGAACTGGAGGAATGGTGAACTGATGGAAGGGTGAATTGGAGAAAGGGTGAACTGGAGGAAGGGTGAACTGGAGGAGGGGTGAACTGGAGAAAGGGTGAACTGGTGGAAGGGTGAACTGGAGGAGGGGTGAACTGGCACCGTTGGACTGGAGGAAGGGTGAACGGGTGGAAGGGTGAACTGGAGAAAGGGTGAACTGTTGGATGGGCGAACTGGAGGAAGGGGTGAGCTAGTGGAAGGGTGGATAGTCAGAATCAGAGTCGACCTGCACCCTGGCCCTGTGCCCTCGCTATGCCCTCCCTGAGCCCCGACCTTCACCTCCGCGCCCTGTGCCCTGCGCCCCCGCGCCCCACTGTCTGGAGCTAACGACCACCGGCCCGCCCCGCCGCGCCCCGCCCCGCCTGGAGCACTGACTTGCGCGCCATATGGGCCGCCAAGCGGCACCAAGCGGCCAACAACGGGCGGAGCTCCTCGACTGACTGTCGAGGCTGTCGACTCGCAGCGTGCATTTTTCACGTGTTCACCTGCCCCGTCCAAGTCCGGCCGGTCCGGCGCGCCTGGTCCATCTGGGCGTCTCGGATATTCAATATTCATTCAGGTTGAGGCGGGGGCGGGTCAGGACTATGAATTAGGGATGGCAGGGATGGGCCTTGTCTCGCTCCAGCCCACGCTCCGACCAAGGCTTCAGCCGAGACTGTGCACAGGGGAACCCTAGGTCACTTTCCCGGTGCATTTAGCAGGCAGACAGGGCAACGCGTTCAATCCCGAGCGAGGGTTCCAAGTACACAATCACCTCTCGAGTCGACTTTCCAGACAGGGTTCAACGGTGCCCGAGAAACACCCCTCTCACAGTGCCGCCCGTTGGAAGGTTTCGTACTCGTTCGCGCTGCACCGCCGCGGAATGGGATTGCTTCCCGCGAGAAACACGGACCTCGGAGGGAGTTTAGATAGGTGTGTCCGACTATAGAATATAGCCTGCGCGCGAGGCAGCGGCCGGGCACTGGCCCTGCACTCCGCCGCACCTGGCCAATGGTTACAGTCGGGCGCACGTAACAGTTTGGCCATGGGAGAGGTTCAAAATACTGGCGCATTTATCATGCCGTGCTCTCATTCTTTCTGGACGGCCCCGTAGGGACGGCCCCGTTTAGGGACGGCCCCGTTTAGGGACGGCCCCGTTTAGGGACGGCCCCGTTTAGGGACGGCCCCGTTCAGGGACGGCCCCGTTCAGGGACGGCCCCGTTTAGGGACGGCCCCCGAACGGCACACTGTCAAAAAAATAAAGTTCAATCGACTAAAATTTAGTGGATTGTACAAAAAAAATTTTGTCGTTTTTAGGGCGACTAAAAATTAGTAAATTAAAACACGCCAATCGAGCATGAGTGGACAGTAAAAACGACCAAATATTGTCGAATAAAACAAAATTTAGTCAAAATTTTGACCAAAATTTAGTCTTTCCCCTTTAGTCGGCTCTTGTGACGTAAGCAGCGGTGACGTCCCCCATTTGGAGACTTGATGACGATTTTCTTAGTTTAGTTGATTCGACTCCTCGAGATCCTTTTAAATTACTAAGAATGCCTCCTCCCCTTGGTTGAAGAAATCACGTGACCACACGACCTCCCTCTAAATGTGACGTCAGCGCCCCACAGGCACTGACACTAATTAGAGAGTCGAAAAATCGGAATTTTGAGGGTGTCGAACACGCATACCCCCGCCGTGCGATAACGCTAACCACTGCGCTACCGACTTATGAGGACGGTCGGCCAAGCGCGCATCTTGACGGCCTCGCAGGGTGGGCAGCGTTTATACGGCACCCTTTAAGGGTTTGGGAAACGCCCTAAGAATTGGGGGTTTTAGTGACGGCCCAAAACATTTAGTCGACGTTTAACGGCCCCTTTTGGGGCCCCCAGGCGAACGGCGCTGCGATGGACTCGACTCGACAGTTTTGTCCGGCCGTTCGGCCGTCCGGTGCCCCAATTTGGTGAAGCCCCTATCTCCGGATGGATCACGCGGCCTATCAGGTCAAATTTCCCTCATCTTGGCAGGCAGCTCACCGCCCCGTCTTCGGCCGTCTTCGGCCGTCTTTGACCCGGCTGGGCTCGCCGCTCGGCGCAATCGGGTCGGCTCAGATCGGCTCAGCGCGCCCGCCCCTCGGGGCCGTGGGGGCCCTCGGCCCGTCCATTTCATAAAGGGGCGTGGGGGCCCACTGGGGGCGAGACTGCCTCCACCTGCCTCGATAAAGGATGACAATGTAACCATCTCAACCGGCTCTCTGGAGACTCCCAAGCACAGCGGCGCAGTTACAGTGTCGCTGCGGAAAGACACGTTACAGTGTCGACGGGGTAGAACACTTTACAGTGTCGATAGGGAGGGAAACATTTTACAGTGTCGACGGGGAAGGACACTTTACAGTGTCGCGCGTGGCCGGGGGAAAAACACCTCATCCCGCAACTTGTCAATAATTCCCGACATCCGCCCACTTCTTACTCCCCGTCGTCGCGGGTTTCGTCGCGCTGTCTCCCTCGCACTGCGCGCGCACCCCACAGAGCGAGAGGAGGGCTTCATCGTCGGCTGGTGAAAGTTTCACCGTTCGGCGGTGCGCACTGATTCGATTCCATTGTCCTCCCTCACGGCCCAGCAGCGCCGGCAGCCTCGCCAGGCTGCCTCTTTCTGTCTCTCTCGCACCTGCACGTGAAGTCCCTGGAGGGCGAGAAAGACTGCTCGGCTTGAGCCATCAGGCCGCTCCGCCACTCGACACAAGTTAAACAGACCTTCTTCCAAGTCTGAGCCGACCGGTGGCGTCACAGCGCCGAGCCCAGCGCACAGTGGGCCAGAAACCGGCGCAGGCGGCCAAAATTCGAGACGCGTTTTGAGCTCCAGAGTCGCTAAATGGGGCTCAAACCGAGCGTGTGACCCCACCAATGGATTCCTCGTTCGGAGAGCAATCCATTGGTGGGGTCACACGTTCGATTCGAGTCTCATTTAGCGACTCTGGAGCTCAAAACGCGTCTCGAATTTTGGCCGCCTGCGCCGGTTTCTGACCCACTGTGTAGCGCAGCCTAGCCTAGCGCCTGTCAGACGGAGGGTAGGCACGCCCGCGCCGCGCGCGCGCTCTGCGGGCTGCATACCCGCACTTCGTCGGGCGCTCGCACCGCCTCGACTCACCCCCCAGCGCACGTTGGGCGTTGGAGGACAGGAACATGCATTGCTTGCCAATACGTGGCACTCTAGGCACTCTAGGCACATGCAATGCCAAATTTCGGC